AGACACACACATTTTAATCTACCAAGGCATAACAACTAACTTTGTTTCTTAAACAAACTCTTTCTCTTTCATTTTCAGAACTTTGGATTTTACGTTTAGAATGCCCTTTTTCCTTCACCTGATTGATAAACTGCTAGTCATTTTTCACGAGTCATATAACTCTTCCCGTTAGTGTTTCTGCTTTGGGCTGCCTTCAGCATACTATAAAACTTTCCTGGGGTCAATGTCGGAGAACAATGTTTTACATATCATTTAAGGTAAAAATAAGTCACTAATGAGTCTGGGATGAACTTCCGTTATAAATGATGACAAAGCGAAGATTTAGGCAGTTGGCATTTGGATGTGGTAGAACAGAAAATTCCTGTCAGATTGATTCTATTTACCATTTTTCAATAAAATATCTGCTTTAAGGACTCTGGGTTGTGTTTTGGTTTTCAGAGTTTTATTAACAGGGGATGGAAAGAGAATAATTTTGAACATGGAGGAAATGTGTAATGCAGTAATTTAAATAATGCCATTTTTAGACAGCCAGATTGGTATGGAGTGTTTGTTTGAGATCTGTGTCCATAACTTTAAAAGTAGATTCATCAAATTTGTCATTTTTTTTCCAATGAATTTCAGCTACAGAGAGTTGGGCTGACTAGTGTTGGGGTTTTGCCAAGTGAGTGGGACAGAGAAGTAGAAAAATGCGATTACTGTATTTCCAAGAGAGTATTTTATTTTATTTATTTATTTATTTATTTATTTATTTATTTACTTATTTATTTTTTGAGATGGAGTTTCACTCTATCACCCAGGCTGGAGTGCAGTGGCGTGATCTCGGCTCACTGCAACTTCTGTCTCCTGGATTGAAGAGATTCTCACAACTAAGCCTCCCAAGTAGCTGGAATTACAGGTGCACCCCACCACCCCCAGCTAATTTTTTGTATTTTAGTAAAGGCGGGGTTTCATCATGTTAGCCAGGATGGTCTTGAACTCCTGGCCTCAGGTGATCTGCCCACCACGGCCTCTCAAAATGCTGGGATTACAGATGTGAATCACTGCGCCCAGCCCAAGAGAGTGATCTTAATGAAAGATAATTGATTCAATCTTAAGTAAAGAGAAAAGTCAGAATATGAAGCACTTTATTGATGGTTTAGTAAGTGGTGAGGGTCAAAAAAGCAAAAGGCTAAATGACACGGGGTATTTGTAGGAGTGAAGATAATACAATAGGTAACCTGAAAGGATAGGTGTCTACGGTCATAAAATAGGTTGCTCAGAAGAATATGACTGTGAAATAGGGTTGAAATGGAGTAGGCTGACATCCAAAGTCAAAAGGTTACATGTGTGAGGCCAAAATGTGAAATGGAAAGTATGTGTTCCTTCAGAAATAGAGAAATAGTAGTGGTAGGAAAGGACCAGTTGATAAAGATATCAAAAACTGAGGAGGAAATGTTGGGAGATCATCAAAGAGCTAACTCAAGGGTTAGAGGTAGGGAATCTCATGATATAAACCACAAAGGAGCTGTGTTCCCAAAAGGATGTTTAGGATAAGTAAGATGGAAATGGCAATGAAAACAAGGAAGATACATACCTCACCTGCAAGCTCTGGAGTATATGATTTAAAGAGAGAAAAAAATATTCTCCAATTGAGAGCGTTACAGGATAAATCATCAGATCTTGAGCCTCCACTAGAAACATTCAGCGGAATCATGAAGGATAAAATAATTTAAAAATAAAAACATTTTATTGTTAAAAAATAAACCAATTAATTCTAGAATGTAGTGTAGGGCAAAGAAAGTTGGGAAATTGGGTCAGATTAAGCAATATGAAATAGTAGAGTAATGAGACTCCGGATAAAAATGATTGAGAGCTTGACCCTCTGGGAGTAATTAAGATAATCAAAAAATTAGGTATGGATAAATTCACTCTTTTTTTTTTTTTTTGAGACGGAGTATCGCTCTGTCGCCCAGGCTGGAGTGCAGTGGCGCGATCTCGGCTCACTGCAAGCTCCGCCTCCCAGGTTCACGCCATTCTCCTGCCTCAGCCTCCCGAGTAGCTGGGACTACAGGCGCCCACAACCGCGCCCGGCTAATTTTTTGTATTTTTAGTAGAGACGGGGTTTCACCGTGGTCTCGATCTCCTAACCTTGTGATCCGCCCGCCTCGGCCTCCCAAAATGCTGGGATTACAGGCGTGAGCCACCGCGCCAGGCCGGATAAATTCACTCTTAAGATATTTGACAGGTGAAGTGGGAGAGGAGGACAGAAACTGATCTCTCCTCTACTTTATGGTAGTGTGATGGCCAAGAAGTACACAAAACTTCTTCCGTGAAGTCTTATCTTGCTTCTGTGTAGTTTCTCTAGGCTGAAAGTGTTATAGTATCGGGGAGATATCTTTCTCCTGGAACAAGAGAATGCTTTTACTGTGAAATGGTGTCATAATGGTTGAAGTCATGGTGCATAATTGCAGTGACCTCCATCTTGATGATTTTATTTCCTCTGTGTCCTTTGGATGGTGGTGGGATGAATATGAAAAATATAAGTAAGTTTAATCAGATACATACTAACCTACATAAAATAAGCAAACATATATAAGAATTAAGTATCTTTATATTTAACCATTGATCTTCTTTGAAAAATAAAGCCCTCTGGTAGATAAAGACTTAAAATATTTTCATAAAAATATAATCCATGATATTTAACTGTTTTCAAATTATATGTTTTTGCTTTTGTAATACTCAAAACACTGTTTTGATGAGTTGCATGTTAGTTTTAGAAAATGATTTTGTTTTTACTGATCAATGTTTTCTCATTGACTTTAAAAAGCCCACAAGAATACATTGCAAAGTAATACAAAGCTATATATATGTGTGTGTGTATGTGTGTGTATATATATGCACGTGTGTGTATGCGTGTGTATGTATACACATTGCTGACATATGTAATACATAGGTGACTGCATGATACAGAGTAAGCACTGTGGCAATTCTTTGCTATTATTATTTAGAATTGTTGCTGCCTTTATTATTATTATATGCTATATTGACTTTGAGATGTTTAATAGGATTTATATAAATACTGCTCATTGTTTGTAAGTGTCAATTCAAAGCACGTTAGGAAAAAATAACTTTGAAATGCAAGATATATCTATAGCACACTGGATTTCTAATTTATTAGAAACCAAATACTAGTACTTGTCTATCTAAATTAATGCATAATATTGGTATAAAGCTCTCCGTATACAATTACACATACTCATTTCCTGATTGGAAAATTGTTTTTTTGTCTGGGCATGGTGGCTAATGCCTGTAGTACCAGCACGTTGGGAGGCCGAGGTGGGTGGCTCTCTTTGAGCCCAGGAATTTGAGATCAGCTTGTGCACAAGGCAAAACCTCTTCTCTAGAAAAAAATATAAAAATTAGCCAGATGTGGTGGTACATGCTTGCAGCCCCAGCTACTTGGGAGACTGAGGTGGGAGGATCTCTTGCCCTCTAGAAATCAAGTGATCCTCCCACCTCACCCACCCCCCCCACGAGATTGCACCACTGCACTCTAGCTTGAGTGACACAGTGAGAGACCTTAGCAAAAAAAGAAAAGAAAAAAAAAAGTTTTTCCAATTACAAAATTAGATTTTAAAATATTGAATTTAAATTGTTTAAGTTACTAAATGGAGCTTAAGTAAAAAAACTAAGTGCCCACTTTTTGATGGGGTTGTTTGTTTTTTTCTTGTAAATTTGTTTGAGTTCTTTGTAGGTTCTGGATATTAGCCCTTTGTCAGATGAGTAGATTGCAAAAATTTTCTCCCATTCTGTAGGTTGCCTGTTCACTCTGATGGTAGTGTCTTTTGCTGTGCAGAAGCTCTTTAGTTTAATGAGATCCCATTTGTCAATTTTGGCTTTTGCTGCCGTTGCTTTTGGTGTTTTAGACATGAAATCTTTGCCCATGCCTATGTCCTGAATGGTACTACCTAGGTTTTCCTCTAGGATTTTTATGGCAAAGGACATGAACAGACATTTCTCAAAAGAAGACATTCATACAGCCAACAGACACATGAAAAAATGCTCATCATCACTGGCCATCAGAGAAATGCAAATCAAAACCACAATGAGATACCATCTCACACCAGTTAGAATGGCAATCATTAAAAAGTCAGGAAACAACAGGTGCTGGAGAGGATGTGGAGAAATAGGAACACTTTTACACTGTTGGTGGGATTGTAAACTAGTTCAACCATTATGGAAAACAGTATGGCGATTCCTCAAGGATCTAGAACTAGATGTACCATATGACCCAGCCATCCCATTACTGGGTATATACCCAAAGGATTATAAATTATGCTGCTATAAAGACACATGCACACGTATGTTTATTGCAGCACTATTCACAATAGCAAAGACTTGGAATCAACCCAAATGTCCATCAGTGACAGATTGGATTAAGAAAATGTGGCACATATACACCATGGAATACTATGCAGCCATCAAAAAGGATGAGTTTGAGTCCTTTGTAGGGACTTGGATGCAGCTGGAATCCATCATTCTTAGCAAACTATCACAAGAACAGAAAACCAAACACCGCATGTTCTCACTCATAGGTGGGAACTGAACAATGAGATCACTCGGACTCAGGAAGGGGAACATCACACACCGGGGCCTATCATGGGGAGGGGGGAGGGGGGAGGGATTGCATTGGGAGTTATACCTGATGTAAATGACGAGTTGATGGGTGCAGCACAGCAACATGGCACAAGTATACATATGTAACAAACCTGCACGTTATGCACATGTACCCTACAACTTAAAGTATAATAATAATAAATAAATTTAAAAAAAAAAAAAAAAAAACAAAACAAAAAAAAAAAAAAAACTAAGTGAAGAAAGTCAGATAAATGATTAAAAGTTACAGTTTTTGTTTTTCTCAAAGGCAAATAGCACTACTGCAAAGCAGTCTATTGTTTGAGAGTAAAAGACTGAGGTGGATTCAGTACTTTGTAAATAAATATGTTAGTCCTTACTCTTGTGTCGTCTGCACCAGGCTCCAGTAAAGTTTATGGTCTTCTAGGAAATAGCAGATTAGTTCAGTGACATGTACGGCAGCGTAGACAATTGAAAGCAGTTGAGCAGAAGGCATGCTAAAACATGATAATAATAAAATTTACTTAATTAGAATATATGAACATTGATGTGCTTGATCAAAAGGTCAAATAGCCAACTGTGTGGCTTCAAACTGACCACCTGGCAAATTAAAAACTGACTTTCAGATGCAGATTTATGCAGAAGAGAAGTTTAAGATCAGCAAACATTTTGAAAGTGGGCAGGGAAGGTGTCATAATTAGGGGAATTTTCTAGACACTGCTTTTTCATTACCTTTGACTTGAGTTATGAAAAATTCAGTTGCTCATATCAGAGAACAGAGAGACTAATGATGAAGATATTACAATAAGTCTATACTATATCCTTCCCTTTCCCTGTAGGTAAAACAGAAAAACAAACAAACAAACAAACAAACAAAAAAGCCCTTGCAATATTACTAATATGGAAAAAGTGAGGTAATGTGCTTTTGTTCTTTCTTTCTCTGTTTAATTTTCAAGATATCACAATTTATAGTTATTATTCCTTCATATCTCTGACCTTACAATTAGCAGGTCCTTAATATACCTTCCAGCTTCCTTCATTCCAGTATTTCAAAGCTTGCGGTGACTTAAAACAGTAAAATAAAATAATTCTCCCCCTCAACAATCAAAAAAATACATTAAATTCGGCCTCATACCAGGTTGATAATTTTAACAAACTTCTGATAATTTGAAATGAACAAAAGAAAAATTTGCCAACTCGGCTGGAAAAAAGGAAACCTAGCAGAAACAAAGAAAGGAAACATTTCCTTGCTCATAGTGATTAAAGGGGAGATTTCCATGAAATGTTAGCACTTTCTATGTTTTCTTTTAGATATTTTGATAAAGATGCATATACATGTCATCATATTCACCAAAATATATGTGCAAAGAGAAAGAGTTTTCGGTGATTCACGGGTATTTTTAAGCCATGTATACAGCAAAACCTCTTACCATTTATGTGTATCCACTATTGACGTTGAAGTGGCACTTTGTGACAAAACTTTCTGACATTTGAGTGCTATTTTATTTAAAAATGTAGATAATAATATTCCTCTAGGCGGAAGATTATCTATACTGTTTAATGGAATGCATAATTTCAGCGTTTGCATTTTAGAAGTTTGGGAATAATGTGGGGAAGAAGTCCAACGGGTTTATTTTTTAAATGTGATCATATAACGTGTTAAACAATAAACATACTGAATGTAGACACGTAGAGCTACTTTGTGCATTAATATTAAACATCAAAATATTAAATATTTTATATTAAAATTTTAAAATCAGCACAAATTGATCATTCAGCATTTAAAAATATTAAATTATAAATTAACTTAAGTTCCAAATAGCTCTTAAAATTATAGCTTATATATGGAAAGGAATCCCTAATGAGGTTTATGAAGAATTTTTATCTTTTTTACTTCAATTTCAACTAACATTGAACTTAAAATTTATTGAAATCAATTTAAATAATCTATAAATATTTAAGGTAAAAAGATAATTATAATTTTTGTACAATTATTTGTGGTACCATAGTGGAATTTATAATGCTCAAAAACATATTTCAAGAAAGCTTGAGTATTTTCTACTATAAACAACAATAGGGTATAAATATGTGCTTCATAATTTCTAAGTCTAAATACTGGGTTACATAATTACTAGAATAAAATCTATTATTTTTAATATTTACTAATTTGTAACTTAAAAAAATGACCTTTTTTGGTTGCTAATTTGGAGGAATGTTAGTCTTTGTTATATTATTAATATTCACAATATTATATTTTAACTAACATATTCACACTTGTCCACAATAATTTTACTAGTAAATAATTGTCACATTGATACTGTATATATTTTAAATGTGAAAAGATGGTAATTAAAATTAAATACTTTTCAATTACAGTAATGGTTTGTAGCAGTATCAAGCAGTAAATAAAATGTAACTACATAACTCCTGAATATTTCTATAAATAAAATGTCTATGGTAAACAAAGTGTTTAAACTGGCAATTTTTTTTCAAAAAATTTTAAGGTCTTGAATTTGTTCAGAAAAGATTCATTTTTCTGCTGGCAATTTGTCTTAGCATTATGCACTATTACGTGAAATAACACTTTAGATATTGTGAGTCTGGACCACAGACTCCTTGTTAAATTTTACTTTCCAATAAAATCAGGTAAAAAGAAAAGATAAATGGAATTACATACTTTTGGGAAATAAATTTTTTGATGTCAGATACCAATACGAATGCCAAGTGTATTTGGAAACTGAGCATAATTTATATAACAAGTGAATTATATTAAGACTTATTAATTGAGTTCTGTGTTAGAGTCCTAAAATTTGTAAAAGTAGTTACTTGTATAGCACAGTATTACTATAAAGAGGCTCTGAACCCAAGCCTGGGAACCATAAAAGTGTTTTTAAAAATTGCCCTTTCACTAACTAGTCTTGAGATATAGGGAAATTTAGTAAGCTTTCCTAGTCGTTATTCTTGCTCTTTTGGATAATATGGAGATTACTACAAAGATTATGAGATAGTAAAGTTTTAAAATTATTGTTTAATTTTATGTGAGCAATAGCTACTTGTATTGCTTCCAAGGGAAATAATCACTAAAAACATTCTAAAATGTTGCCAAGTATCAGTGTTTCCCAGAGTCTAATACTTAGCACCTTTCATCTTGATTTGGCATTATACTAGGGAGCTTAGGTCATCATACATTTTGGCGAAATGAATACTGACTACAGTTATCAATTTCACCCCTGTTGTTCCGGTTCACAATATCAAAAGAGTCCTTTCACTTAACATTGTATAATGCTAAAACAATTTGTTGGAAGAAAATTGAATGAAGCCTCTCTTCATTCAATTGACATGGAATTGACATGGAATCCAATTGACATGGAATAGCCATGTCACATTTTCTGAGCTGCAATTTACACAGATACGAATGCAAATATATATAGGAACAACCACATCATTTTATAAACAAAACATAGATTACAGTGTTGTTAAAGTATTAATGGATCCTATAAAATATGATGTAAAATTAAAACTATGAACATTGGAATACTTCTTTAAATACTTGTCTAGGTAGCTTTGAATTTTTCTTCACATCTCTGAGTTTCTGGTCCCTCATTTGCAAAGAATACAGGTAATGCTTAATAGATTCTCATAGCGCATATAATGCCCTGTTGTATTTTTGTCTGTTTGCTAATCTTATTTTCTTTTATATCCATATGTAGACTCACTCATGTGTGTGTATGTGTGTGTATATGTGTATGTGTGTGTGTGTGCGCGCGCACGCACGTGTGTGTGTGTGTAAAAAGAAAGAGGCAGAAGAGAGAGAGATACGGAAGGTAGTTTTCTCTTTAAATGGTAGGGTATCAACAGAAACTCATACACATAAAATTCCTGTTCTTATTTTGGACACTTCTGTGATATATATCACTAGAGATACTTATATATCTATAAAATATTTATTATGGAGTTTTGTAAATATCCATTTATATTTATACAAAATTATTGATCTAAATGTTTGTGTTTTATGTTTGACCCAGTCAACATTTTACATGACATATTCATGATGTAGTATGTAACATTAATGAAACACAAAATAAAATATAAAAAACAAACAAAAAAACCCACAAGATTTACCTCACAAGTAGAATACTTTAAAAAGTCAAATGTGACGCCACAGCACTCCAGCCTGGGTGACAGAACGAGACTCAGTCTTAAAAAAAAAAAAAAAAAAAAGTCAAATCTGTATTAGTTCTTGAGGGAAGCCTCCAAAAAATCCATAAAAGATTATTCTCTCTAGCAGTAAATGCAATTAAATTAGAAATAAATAAATGATTATTTAAAAACATATATCTTAAAAGTAAAAATATAGTGTGAAAATCATTTGTGCTAAATAAAATACAAAGAAATTACAAAATAATTAAAATGTAAAAGCAATTAAAATACTACGAAAACAACCTGAGTGACACAATGTCACCTGTTTAAACCTGTATTAAAAACTAAGAACAAGTATTAAAGATGAGTTAACGGTTGAGCTGAAGAAGCTTGAGTAACAGAATAAAATCAAATAAGTAAGATAAAATGATAAAAATAGGAACAAAAATATGTAAAGCAAGAAATAACATGCAAGATAGAGGAATAAAACAAAAATCTGATGATTTGAAAATGATTAATAAATGTCTACATGTACCTTAGAACCTTAGAATAGATGTGAAAATAGTTAACAATTAACAACCTATGTAAAAATATGATTTAGAAAGAAGAGCAAATTAGAGATTAAACTGTAATATAATAAATGTCAATTGCATTGTCTCAGGCTGTGTTACTTAGCTACTGTTTAAAATTAAAGGTGAAAATAACATATGCAAATTAGATGTAGGTAATATTAAATTTAACAAAGATAGGTTAAACCATCCAATTTGATTTCAATGTTTGGAAGGTAAACATTCTTTCAAGAGGCATTGTAACATTAAAGGTTAGTTAAAATGACCTTCCTTTATTTTCCAAAGTAACTTAGAATTGTGGCAAATTAAATTTTCAGGAATTAACAATATTTTGCAGCCTGTTACTAATTAACATGATCAACAAATTTATAAATTAAAGTATATTTAAGATAAAATTTTCATGGCCTTTATGTTGACTTTATAAAATCTTCCACTCAATTTTGTATCAAACTTTAAAATTGATTTTGCTCTTATAGATCATTATATTACATCAAAAGAGAAAGAAATTCCTGACCTGTTCTTTTTTTAATATTTTGGTATTTTAAAATTGCTTCCAAATGCATGAATTTCTATTTTATTAGAACAAACATGCATTAATGCAATTTTTTTGTTAGTGTAGTATAATGGAAGATACATTTAATACTTAAATGGTAACTATTATATAGAGCCCAGTGATTAGCACTTAGTAACCCTCAATACATTTTTGCTTTTGTAAGGATCATACTAAAGTTAGGCTAAAAAGTTGTGCCTACATAGATAACTTACTTAGTGCTGTTCAGCTTTCAGTTCCCTCAAAGCTAAAATTAAAAGAAATGACAGATATAATTACCCTTGCTAACTTTAGTTTGTAAAATTGTAGAAGTGCCCATTTTTTGCTTTGTGCCTAATAGTGCAAAACCACATTGCTCTGAATGTAGGACAGAAGAGAGATTGCTTTGATTTTCCTCATTTCTTGTGTCCATTAAAACCATGATAATTTTGCAGAACTAACAGTAGCAACAAGTTTGGGAGGGATTCACAATACAAGCACACTAGCTGGAATACTAACCCACAAGAAAGCAAAATCATTACAGAAAAAAATGCAGTGTGACCATTTTCTGCAAATCTATTTCTCAAAGACAAAGCTCTACAAGAAGTTTCTTTACAGATGTGTTTTGACTGCAGTAAAATTGGATAAGTTACTTTTCTCCCTTTCATCTGCTTCAGTTTACCTTTGTAGCCCCTAATCACCCAACATAAACCGATTTAGGTGTGACCTATTTTCCACTGCCCAGACAGATCAAGTTTTATTTGGTTCTCTTCAACCAAATTAATACTGGATTCATGTTCTTTCTTCCATGTGTAGTATACCTCTTCAGATTACTAGTACTATAAGCTATCTAGAATATCTGGTTCATGTAAATTTATTTTTGCCAGGAGAATAATAGCTTAAGAAAAAGTAAAAACTTGCTGCAATTTATGTCCTAATTGGTCTTGCGATGGACTTAGCACACAATAGGAACTCAAAGGCTGATGAAACAAAAGGAATGGGTGAAAACAGAGGAAAAAGGAGAAATACGTAGGCTGCTACTTTGGAGTAGTATTGCAAGAATAACATAATAAAGCAAAATAAGTAATATCAATATATTCAAATTTGACATATAGCTACTGTTATTTCCTAATTATATCGTTACCTGAAATTGTTTTCACATTTTTTTGAAATTTAATGATTTTTTACCTTCTGATTTTGAACAAAACTTCAACCTTACTATATCATACTCCTCAACACTGAAAAATGGGCTCTTAGAACTCAACATTCTTCCCCTTTCTCCATAGCTCACTGTGTCCTTACTAAACACTGCCAAAGATATTACTGCCAAGAAAGAAAACAATGTTAACCGATTAAGCATGTCTTTCCTAGATACTATGGTGATTAGCCCTATCAAGCCCCAATTGACCTAAAAAATTCTCCTCTCTATGCAGCTAGCTATACCTCTTGATTTGGCTCGTTGTCTCATCCTACAGAGTTAACACCAGACTTTCCACTGATCCCTGTGCATCTATCTCTGTCAAATTTATCTCTAGATGGAGATCTAGAACTCTAGCAACAGATCTGGGTGTATCTCTAGATAGAGATCTAGCACTCTGTCAGCAACAAATTTCTTATATCCTCAATACATTTTCTTATACTCCTTAGGGTCGCTTGATTTCTCTACTCAAAACCAAGTTGTCAGACTGGGCATGGTTGCTCATACCTATAAGCTCAGCACTTTGGGATGCTGGGGTAGATATATATACATATATGTATGTATGTATGTATGGCCCTCTCTCTCTGTTTTTCTCTCTTGCTATCTATCTCTCTATCTCTCTATCTATCTATCTATCTATCTATCTATCTATCTATCTACCATTTCTTACTCTACATTTACTACTGTTGGGGTCCGCGTGTTTCCTAAACAAAGGAATGAACACACAAGACAAGACAAACATGGCGGCCGCCCTGAATGGCGCGCTCCGCTTTATTTTATACAGTCATTTGTGGAATGTTGCCAAGTCACAAGACACATCGTTGTTTTTCTGACCTTTCCCTGACTTTCTGGATTTTCAAGACGTTTACATATAAACAGGCCCCCAATGCCCTGCTTCGTTTGCAAGGGCAGGACTTGTCGGGAATGCCCTGCTTCGTTTGCGAGAGCAGGACTTATGGGGAACACCCTGTTTGTGAGCACGTAGTCCTCTACATTTCCCCTTTCCTTATTTACAAGTTTGAATTTCTTTTAAAACCATCATTACATGTTGGGCTCGCTGGGATTCGGTGTTTGCCCTTTGGCACCGTCTCCAGCAGACTGTGAAAAATGACAAAGGCAAGAACAACAATCAATACATTACTAGAAACAGAGGTCAGCAAAATTTTTTAGAGGACTCATAGGGTTCAAAACCGTCAAACTTTGTGCAATACCAGTCATCAAATCTGCACCAGTCAGCAACGGTAACTGATTGCAAAATGTTTCAGAAATATTCTGTGTTAATTCTTGTATTTCTAGGGAAAGATTATTATGACCAATTAAAAGTCTCTTTATCTCAGTCCAATTATGTACAGTGCTGTCAAAAGGAACAGGAGTAATGCAAAATTGGGTAGTGTTCCAATCACATTTCAACAAAGCTCGGGTATTCAACACTGTTAGCTGATCTCCCAACCAAGAAACCACTTGTTCCAGATTATCTACTCGTTCAGTCAAATGAGCATCTATGTCTCGTTGCTGCTGCCACAACAAATGTGATTGTTCATGCCATTGTTGCACAAATTCTGCATTTTGTATATGCTGGTGTAGAGCTAATCCAGCAACAGCGGCAGTGGAAGCAATTGCTACAAGTCCTATCACCGCGGTCACGACGATTCCAACCATTCTCCGACTGCGGTGGACAAGATCTTGCATAACCTTATAAATCTGAGTAACCCCAGCAGATTCACTCCAAGTACATGTTAAGTTTACAGGTAGCCAGGTTTCTTTCTGGCTCTTAGTATATATAAATCGGAATGAGACTCATTCCAATTATTATTCCACCAAGTAGTATTTATACAACTTAAGAATGTACAATTGTTTGTACAGTTAACTACCTCGGTATTATTATCCCATTTAAAAATTCCTGTCAACAACAAGTAAGGCTTTCTTACACATGCAATAACATATCTAGAACTATATTTGATGCAAAAATATATGGAAAGGGTTAGCAATATTAGTAAGATTTAAGGACATGTTTCCCGTGAAAGTGAACATTGGTTTACCAGCAGCTAGCAACTTCCAAATATGACCTTGTATTTGTGAGGTATTAGCCAAATGTGGCAAGGGGGTGATAGACCACCATCATGCCAAATAATAGTTTCATTGCCATCTGCAGAAATGCTGTGATTACCTTATGCCAACGCAGGTTGACATGGCTGAATTTAGTCTGAAAATCTCCATGTACACTCCAATCTGTAACAAAGTATTTACGACTCTTCCCTTTTACTTTTAACAATAATCGTGGCCCACTACTTCTACATCTAGTCCACTCTAGTTGGGAAACACCTCCGGACACATCAGGGATAGGGCATAAAGATAATGTACTTGGCAGAGTTTCATTAAGTACTGCAGTATGATTATACTTGAAACTTTGAGCCACAACAATCATAGTAAAGGCAGAGATATGACTATGGTTATAGCGAACAGCCCAAGCCTCATGAGAAAGATGCAGACAATGCGGACTACCCCCAAGACATATAGGTAACCCTTTAACCCCAAATTGATATGAACTATTTCCTGTGCCAGTGTCTAATTTAGGATCCTGGTTTAAAAAAGGTGATGGCATCCAAGCAGTATCATTAGTAAATACTGGGACTTCTGTCTCCCCAGGCCACACCTTGATATAAGGGTGCAAAAGGAATATAAGCCCAGTATGTAAATTCTCCAGCTGTTACCTGACAATTTACTACGGCCAGCATAGCCAGGAATAAAGTCAGTGGGGTTTTGGGCTGCCTAGCTTGTTGAACAACCCCTTTAGCTTCTTAACTGTTTCAGTTGTCCCCATGTCGGGGGCTCCGCACGAGTTCCAAAGGTGAATGTTCTCTGAGCGCTCAGATTTAGCTCCTGGAATTCCTTCAGGAACTGTTTGGATTGGCTCCTCTTCGCCATGGCACTGTTTCAACCGTCGAGATGGAAACCACTGGTCCGGCACCTGTACAGACAAGAGCATAGCCTCGGCCCCATTGTAAAACTTTTTCTTTTAAATATTTCCTTTGTAATGAAGGATAATACACCCACAGATTACTGTTTTGTGGCTTTTCTAAAGGCTGTTGAAAATGTTTCACCGCTGCAGACTGCTGTAATTGGCGCCAATGGTTGAGAAAGTTTAAAGTAAAAAAGGCTTTCAGAATTTGATGTTTTGGGGAATCTCGCCCATCTCCCCCTTTTGGCTTTAAAAGTTGTAATTTTAAGGTAGCATTGGCTCTTTCAATAATTGCTTGACCTTGACTGTTAAATGGAATACTAGTGGAATGATGAATATGGTATAAAGAGAGGAAGGCAGCCAATTTGCGAGAGCAATAAGCAGGGGCATTATCAGTTTTTAATTCAGCAGGGACTCCCATAACTGCAAAGCAAGTAAGTAAATGAGTAATAACAGAGTCAGCCTTTTCAGAGGGTAATGACGTAGCCCACTGGAAATGTGACCACGTATCAATAGTATGATGAACATATTTTAAATGACCAAAGGAAGGAACTTAAGTTACATCCATTTGCCAAATGTGATTTTGTTGAATGCCTCGAGGTCCTGGCAAAGCTGAATGAGAATGAATATGAGTGATAAAAAGGGGGGCAATGCGGGAAGTAAGAGTTACAAATAATAAAGACTGATTCAAATGGATAGTGAGAAATTTTTGAATTGTCTTAAGTCCAGTATCCAGCCTTTCCATTGCTTGAAGCATCAGTAAAAAAGTTGGGACCTTTAACTGGAGTGTAAGAGATAGGATTATATGGCAGTAAAGAATATTGTTGCAGAAAAGCAAACAATTTACTACTAGGATAATGCTGAGAAAAAGAACCAGTATACTCAGCGCAAGCCACTTGCCAACCCTCATGAGTTTCCAGCAGAGATTCAATGTATTGATTAGACAATCGGGTAATAATTTTTACAGGGTCAGCACCAAGCAACTGACGAGCTCGATGTCGTCCTTTAATAATTAATTCAGCCAATTTATCAATATATGGGTGAATTTTCTTAATGGCTTTATTAGCCAAAAACAGCCACTCCAGAATATTATTATCTTGGTGTAAAACGGCCCTTGGCGAATGAGGAGTATGAAAAAGACACAATGAAAGTGGAAGATTGGGTACAATATAATCAAGGTGAGCTTCATTAATTCTATTTTCTACAAATGACAAATCTTCTTCTGCTACAGGGGATAAAGTCCCCATAGGTTGAATACAAGTATTTACAGCTCTAAGATCAGTTAATAAGTGCCCTTTTCCTTTTTTTTTTTTTTTGACAAGACAAACACAGGGGAATTCCATGCAGAAGTACTTGGTTCAATATGCCCCTTGGCCAATTGTTCCTTAACTAAATTCTTTAAAGCCTTAAGTCTTTCTTTAGATAATGGCCACTGTTCCACCCAAACAGGAGTTGTAGTTTTCCATTTCAATTGTAAAGCTTGAGGCTTGTGGACAGTGGCTAAGAGTTTAAAGGATTGTAGCCCATTTTGAATATCATATTTTTGGCAGCTGAAGAAATATGAGGAATGCTTAAAAAGGCACCAAATTGTTGTAAAAGATCGCGGCCCCAAATACAATATAAAAGAACACTTTTCCTTGTTGTCCTTCAGGTCCTACACAGCTCAGGGGCTCGACAGTTTGGTAGACTATAGAAGCAGTACCTAGGTTGGATAGAGTAACCGATACTTGTTTCTTTTTCCAATGATCAGGCCATTGAGCCAAACATTATTATATACATCCGCTCCTGTGTCGACTAAGCCCTCAAAAAGTATCCCATTAATTTGCAATGAACATAAAGATTTTTGATCAGAAACTAAAGTTTCCCAGAAAACAGTTTTCCCAGTACTACCGAAACCTCCTTGATGAGACACATCTCCAGATAAGAAAGGAAAAAAAGGCAATAAAAGCAATTATGCAATACATTCCCCTGCCTCTAGGCGCATAAGTTGTGAGACTTGTACCATAATAAGGATTTCATCAGTAAAATCAGGATCAATTATTCCTGGGACCACCATTAACCCCCGCATAGCGTTGCTACTTTACCCTAGTAAAAGTCCTACATGTCCCTTTGGCAAAGGACCACACACTCCGGTAGCCAACTTATATATTCCTCTATTAGGAGTTAAAGTATAAGGCTGGACAATAGCTAGGTCAGCAGCGGCACTCTGCTTAGTGGCAGCATAAAGCTGAGAAACTGGGGTAGGGTAAGATGTCTTTAAGGAGGACTCGAGGTCATTCCTTGATGTTCTAAGCCACTGCTCACTGGGTACTAGGGTAGGCCTGCATTGTAGTTGTTGGGGCCCCAAGCCTGCGGGCCCCGGCTCCCGTTTCCCAAGAGGGGTGACAGTATATTCCCACTTTTATCAGTTTTTGAATGGCATTCATTGGTCCAATGTCGACCCTTGCCACATCGTTTACACATATTAGATGGTAACCTTTTTTCTTTTAGAGCAGAAAAGCCTAATTTTTTCCGGCATTCCTTTTTAAAATGACCGGGTTTCCCACATTGATAGCATATACCTTGTTTAGAATTGCCTTTTAAAGCCTTAGAAAGTGCCCCAGCAAACAATTGAGCATTGTAAATAGCTCCTCCAACACCTGCACAAGCCCGAATGTATTCATCTAAATCAGCCCCACTAGCTTTTAGAGGACGCAGCAATTTTTGGCACTCAGGATTAGCACTCTCAAAAGCCAAAGTATCCAAAAGAATTTTAGCAGTAGGGCCTGAACCTACAGTCTCTAATACAGCATCTTGAAGATGGGCTACAAAATCTGGATATGGCTCTGTGGCTCCTTGTAGGATCTTTACAAAAGATTAAGAAGTTTTACCCGCTATTTCAACCTTAGTCCACGCTTTTAAAAACAAGGCTTTAATCTGAGTGAGAGCAATATCATCTAGGCCTGCCTGAGCATTAAGAGTGGCGTATTGTCCTGAACCCGTAAGCTGCTCTTCAGTAGGTCCTGGGGGATTTCGTGTAGCATTTTTTCTAGCTTGTACTCTTGCTTCCTCCCACCATCAACTTTTTAATTGAAGCCATTGCAAACGATCAAGGACAGCCTGTCCCAACGTTTCCCAGTCAATAGGAATCATCATATGTTCTGAAGAGAAGGAATCGAGAAGGCCAAGGACAAATGGTGATTGAGGTCCATAATTAGAAATTGCAGCTTTCATTTCTTTCAAAAATTAATAAATCTAATTCCTCGAAATCACCCTTTTCCTTCTATTCCTTCTTTTCTCCTACAGGAGGAAGAGGCACAGAGAAAACCTGACCTGACATAGACAAAGAGGTTGGAGGTGGAGGCAAAGGGAAATCCTTTTAGTGGAGAGATAGGAGAAACAGGAGCAGCGGTATTTTGCAATTTTAACAACTGTTGTAACATCCTAAAATGTGCTGCAAATCAGAATTTCCTTCAGATGAAGGAGGCATTAGCTCTTTTTCCAATTCCTTGTTCTCAATAACCAGGGCATAAACATGTTCCTCTCTAAGATCATTCCTCTCTAAACCTTCAGATGCCTCACCTCCTGTGGCAGTATCGCCATGCTCCGAGTCAGTTTCAAGTAACTCTAATGCCTGAGTAATGGAATTACACAAAGTCCACAAAGTCAGAGGCATCGTTTGCCCTCGCTGATGAGCTCGACGCAGGACTTTAACCACTTGTAACCATTCCTTTCAATTTAACTGCACTTTGGTTTGATATTGAAACCAATAACAATGTTGTTCAACATGGGCAAACAATCACTTCAAAGTCTTATGTTCCTTAACTAACTTCTACTCCTATAGACATCAACAGTCCCTGGAGTAACCGCAAATATTCAGAGGCCAGAGAGGTGGAATTCCCCATAATTTTCCCGTGGGTCCCCCTTTCTTTATTTACCTGCCTGGGGTGTTCCCCCTCCGGTTCCTTGCTCTCGTGGAGCCACGGACCCTGCTCACTGCGCCAGATGTTGGGGTCCGCGTGTTTCCTAAACAAAGGAATGAACACACAAGACAACACAAGACAAGACAAACATGGCAGCCGCCCTGAATGGTGCGCTCCGCTTTATTTTATACAGTCATTTGTGGAATGTTGCCAAGTCACAAGACACATCGTTGTTTTTCTGACCTTTCCCTGACTTTCTGGATTTTCAAGATGTTTACATATAAACAGGCCCCCAACGCCCTGCTTCGTTTGCAAGAGCAGGACTTATTGGGAACGCCCTGCTTCGTTTGCAAGGGTAGGACTTGTCGGGAACGCCCTGCTTCGTTTGCGAGAGCAGGACTTATGGGGAACACCCTGTTTGTGAGCACGTAGTCCTCTACATACTACAATAGTTCCAGGAAGCATCTCTCCTCTGGATTATATCATTTTATCTGCCCTCTTCGCATGCATTCTTGCCTTTCTACAGTCTCACATTTGCATACAAAATCCAGTGTATTTCCACTCAAATCTTATCAACATTTCTATCTCAGAATAAAATCTGGTGTCCTTACCAAGATCTAGAAAATAATAGCTAATCTGACTCTGTGAGTTTTATGACTCACCCACTCATTGACTTTGTTCTAGACACTCTGGCATTTCTTTTTTCTTCCAGTTTCTCAGAAAGGCCAAGCATCTACCTCAAATATCACTTTCAGATCTGAAATTACTGTTACCTCTTTGTGGATTCTTCCCCCAGATATAAGCTTGGCACTTACCCTCACTCAGTTATCTGCTCAGAGATACTTTACCTCACAGAAATGATAGAAGTTGAGGTCTAAAAATATTTCCAGGGAAGAATGATAGACTGAAGTTTACAATTGCTAAACAAGAATATATAGTTTGAAATTGCATGTAAATATTAAAAACAGTTTTACTAAATAGATGTGTTAATTAAATTGTGCTCTTCTATTTTACTCAGAACTTTTTCTCCATACTTCTGACACCATTGGGAAAGACATTAAGAGCATTCATTAAAATAAAAACACACTTAACTTCATTTATTTTGGAGGGATAATTAATTGTGTCTACAAAGTGGGTAAAATGCCAATAATCTCTTTAAAGAAAAAGGAAAACAAGGAGATTCAGAGCATCTCATCAGAGCATTATTCAGAGCAATACTGTTGTCAATAGCATTTACAAAGGGATGTATATTAAAGAACTGTTTGGAGGAGCTTCTGTTGTCTGTCTTCAAAGGTTTCAATAGTGACAATGCATGTCTTTTAGAAAAATCTCTTGATGGTCTAGTAAAGCATCTTGGCATGAAATAGTTTTCCTATAAAGCCTCTTAAATTTTCTTTCACTCTATTTTCACTTGTTTATGTCTAGTTCTTGCTCATTGATTCAGACAACATATGTTAACTTCATCAATAAACATTCAATGTTTTCATTTTAATGATGATATTTTGCGTGTCTCCTAAAAGTCCCACATCCACTTCTTTCTCCTGTAATTGGCACGCATAGTTTACTGAATTGTTTCACTTTAGGGTTTTACCTTTTCTAGAAGTCTGTCTCCTTTACATAAAAAACAAAAGCAAAAGTAAACAAACATTCCACTGTAAGTTTCTTAAGATATATCTTTTTTGGTGTGTGAATAGCAAACACAAACAAACACTCCTGGTTAAAACATTATCATTTCACGTATTTGAGGATTGGCAGATATTTAACTATCTCAGGGAAAATTGTAATTATTTCACTTGTTCAGAAAATTTTAGAATGCTAGTTTAATGGTTACTGTATAATTGGGAATTATTATATTTCTTATGAAAGGAAAAGGGAATTTGCATTTATTCTTACTATGTTTCTAGTAGCTCAATTTTAATGTAATAAACTGAAAGAAGCATCAAATTAAAGCACATGTGAAAGAATATCAGAAGGAATCAACTGATGAGGAAGAATTAGATATAGACCATATTAAAATAAGCTATTTAATTCTGTGGCTGAAGTAGAATTATTTAGATTGAGTTTGGAGTATTCATCTCAAGTGATCTGAATAAACTTGTCTAGACTCATACAAGTGATAGCCTTGGATTTTTCAGTCCTTTTCATTTACTCAGAGAAAATATGAATTAAGTAGGGTGTTTGACTATTTGAGAGGCCTACTATGTTATTGATGATGATGATGATGATGATGATGATGATGATGATGTGAATTTTGAGATTTTTTGAAACTGAAGGAATATCTGACCTAACTAATTTGCCAGTATCTATAATAGCTCTATAGGTGTTGTCAATATATTTGTATTTTGCTCAATAAAGGGTGGTATAAAAAGGGTTGGTGTTTAGTTAATTTAGTTGTCACTCTTTTTAAAAACAAGTCCAAATATCAATGGCTTAAGAATATAAAATTTTATGTCTGTCTTACATCATAATTCAAAACTGAGGAGAAACTCAATTTGGTATATCTCCTCCCAGTGTTGATCTAGAAATTTGTTCTCCGTCCATCTGACACTGCCATGTTAAACACCTGGCTGAAGAAATATTTGAGCATAGAACAAGTTTTTTTTAATGGACCAAGTCTGTAGGTGAGTCATATCAATTACAACTATATTGAATTGAACAGAGCCCAGGTATAAAGTCCCGAAATAAGTTAAAGTGATGCTAAAAAATGGTTTTGTTCTGTGTGCTTGGAAAGAAAAATAAGAGGGTAAACTAGACAGGATTTTATAAAAGGCAGATAAATGGAAAATTGATCTATAAAATGCTATATTTATAACTATTAATCTGTACTTTTATATTTAATAGTTACATACAAATAAATTCCAAAATATTTTTGTTAGGAAAATAAAATGTCTGTGTTCCTATTATAGTCTAGGTGAAGGTTTAGGACATTGAACTAAAGAATGTCTCCTAAAACAGAAATAGTGTATTTGAGAACAGTAAGGTGTCTTTATTCCCTGTTCACTGCAATTTTTTTGAAGTCATAGAGGAATGATATGCTTAACAAATATCATCTTAATTGAAGAACTATACTATTGTTCTAATTTATTTATATGTTATCTTATCACACTAATATTTTCTGGGTTATTTTATTGTGCAGACATTGAAAATATTCAATTATACACTCTTGAAAGTATAATAGAAGATTTTTAAGGAAATAATTTCTTTGTTGCAGGCAATGCAATAACGTTTATGGATTCAGAACATACACATAGCAGAATGATTGATAACACTACCTTAGGAGCAAGGTTATGTGTATTCATATCTCAATTTGATTACTTACAGGCTGTATTAAACAAGATCCAACTAGGAAAAAGCTTGAGATAATGCTAAAAAATTGAATAAAGAGTGTTGAGTTAGAAATCTCCATATATACGCTGATAAGAGCACTAGTCAACTTTGTTGAAGGATAATTTAATGGCAATCATGACTTGAAAATTAGAGATTGTGTATTCTTTTTGGATATTTACATACTTATCTCTCTCAGAGCAACTTGCTTATGTTTTAGGGAGACGTTCACCTTTTCTCCAAAAAGTTATTATTTTTTTTTTTTTTTCATCCCAGAGTAAAGGCTTCTTTCCTAAAGGAGGACAGGCCAATGCATCAGCCCCAATGTATAAGCTCTGAGTCTCATAATTTCTGGGATCTCCTTTAGTGGTGCAACCTCGCTGTGTGAATAGGTGAACAATTGACTCTTATCATCTCACCCCATGGAAAATTGTGACATGCGGAATTGATTCTTAGATACTCTGTGAATAATAAACAGTCATATCCAAAGATCTCGTATTTCCTGTTAGGACTATTTATAAATATGTAGGAACTAACATGGACTTAGAGCATGGACAATAGCTTCAGGAAACTATCCCTTGGCCTGTAGAAGCAGAAATAAGGGGTGGTCACTACTAACATGAAGAGTAGTGCAAAAACTGACAATTAGGAGTTTGGGGATTAAAAGGAGAAAAAATTACTAATTCTACTTCATTTTCTTCTTTCACTTTGATCTTTTTCAGGTGTCTCGTTTTGGCCAAATACAGGTGGAAATCAGAAAATCAATGACTCCATTGATGCTATCCATAAAATTTAGCTTCCTGAGGCACAGAACGTGCTACCAAAGGGTGGAGAGTAAATTTGGAAAAGTGAATGGAATGCAGAGCAGTTCCTGTGCTGAAAGACGATATGTTTTATGCTTAAAAGATTATTTTATTAAACACATAATCTTCCAACTATGGTTGAACTGTGAGATATGGCTCTAACTCTGAGATTTGGCTGAACTTTTCCCTCAAAAATTCCCTGAACTAGAAATTATTCTGCTCTAAAAACTCATTCATAACCAGATACAGATGAATTGTCATATCTGTCCATGTGTTTATCTTTCTTATTATTTTAAAATCACAATCATTTTTGACAAAACAAAACTTCTTTATAATTACTGTTTAGCACAACCCTATGGTGATTACCAATGTGTCACACTGTTGAATGAGGATGGAACCTGTGAATTTCATCTAATGAATAAAATATGGCAAAAGCGAGGGGCTGTTACTCTCTTTATTGGGTTACATTATGTAAAATTCACTATTTAGCAGAGAGTGAGATAGACTTTCTTGCTTGCTGACTTGGAAGTTTTATGCTGCCATTTGTAAGAAGGCCTCTGAGAGGAACACATGTCAAAAAAACTATGGCCTTGAGGAGATGAGTGCCCCTCACCTATAACCAGAGAGAACTGCCCCCCCATAGCTTCCAGAATATAAATTATCCCAAGTACATGAATGAGATAGAAACAGATTCTTGCCAGTCAAGCCTCCAGATAGGAATGCAGTCCAGCAAAAATTCTTGAATGAAGCATCATGAGGGTTTAATCTCAATAGCCTAATAATGATAAGACTACATTGGCATAGAAACCAACTAAGCTGCATCTGGACTCGTGTTATCCTGTAGTATCTATAAGATAACAAAAGTATATTAGCTTAAGCCTCTTAGTGTGTGGTAATTCATTACAAAGAAGAAAAACTAGTATTAGTATTGACAATATTATTTTAAACATTGTTATAACAATGATCTCAGCTTATTGTGTGTGATCCTGAATTCCTCATTACCTCCA